GGCTGGTCACAGTGGGTCAAGGGTGCTGCAGTTGTAACGTGGTTTGGCTCTTTGATGGCGCCTGAGCTCAAGTGGGGCTTGCACACTAATACTCAATGCATTTGCCAAGAAGGTTTTTAGATGACTGTCTTTTAAACTGTGGGCACAAGGCATGACTGTTCTCATAACTTACGCAATTAAAGTTTGATATTGGAACGTTGACTTCAAATGAATCATTGTATCATATAGTTCAAGTTTACCTTTATTAAATGACTAAAATGCCACATTTCCGCTTTCCCTTTTTTCTGCTTCTCTCCCTCTCCCACTCCCCACTTCTTCATCGTGAGCCCGTGTGAAGTGCTCTGCAGTGAGGAGGCGCAGGAAGTGCTCGGAAAGGCGTGTTTGCTATCAACCTGGGAAGCAGGAGGCCCCGTGTCCTCATGGCAGGCCCCAGGCCTGTGACCCCCAATCCCAAGGGAATATTGAGTGTCGTGTCATGCCACCAGGGTTGGTGGCATCTGTGGGTTGGGGAAGAGAGCTCCCCAAGGCAGCCGGGGGGGTCCTGGGGGCTTAGCCAGGTCCTCACTGGAAGTGCTGCTCGGCGCTGGCGTCCGAGGTGCTCTCACGGTCTCTAGACGTTTCTCTCTGCAAAGCTTTGCTCTTGTCGATGCCTTCCATTTCCTTTTCCTTCTGGCTGATGCACTCTCATTTCACAGGGCCCTGGTCCTGGACACTTCCTTCTGCCTTTCGGGGGCCTCCTCTCCTCCAGAGATCTTGGCTGCACTGTGAGGAGCCTGACTTCAGCTGGGCCTGTGTGCAGGTGCCAGGCCTTCCCCGGCTGAGCGGGTCCTGTGCTCTGTCCAGCTCCCCCATCCCCAGGCTGCGGGGATCCTATGCTCTGTCCGGCTCCCCCTTCCCAGGCTGCGGGGGTCCTGTGCTCTGTCTGGCTCCCCCTTCCCAGGCTGCGGGGGTCCTGTGCTCTGTCCGGCTCCCCCTTCCCAGGCTCCGGGGGTCCTGCGCTCTGTCCGGCTCCCTCTTCCCCAGGCTGAGTGGGTCCTGTGCTCTGTCTGGCTCCCCCTTCCCAAGCTAAGCAGGCCCTGTGTTCAGCCCAGCCTTGCCTCTGGCACCCTCTTCTGGGTTCGTTTGACAGTGTCAGCCTGCCACATGGTGTCCTCTGCAGATTGGCAGGTCTGCCACCCTGGGGCCACCAGGGCCTGTGCCAGGGTGCACCCTAATGTCCAGGGATGTGTCTGGTCAGGAATCATTTGGGTCCATAAACTGCTACTTATCACCCTCTCGTCCTCACTTGGAACCTGGCCCTCTTTGAGCTGGCCTGGTGGCCCCGGGCCCCCTCTTGGGGCAGCGCGCAGATGCTGTTCCTCCCACTGCCGCGTGCTCCTTTGGACTCGGTCTGTGTCCTTACCCACCATCTGCTGTTCCCAGCAGGCGCCCTTGCTGCGCTATCCCGGCATCTCCACCAAGGCTCAGCCTCAGGGGCCACCAGCCCCTCCTGCCGTGCCGTCCTCTGTTGGCCCAGATGCCCACGTTCCTTGACCCTATCCCCTTGTCCCTCCCTGCCCTCCCTTTTCTCTTCCCTGGGCATGGGTTCCATGGTTCTTTGGGACCATCCCTTCCCTCGGCTCCCTGGTCCCCCTGAACTCACCTGGGGAGCCTACAGAGGCTCCCGAGTTTAGCCCAGCTCTCCAGCTGCTGTGATTCTGTTCCCAAGGAGCCGGCCTAGCTGGAAAAAAGCATTCAACAGCTGGCTTGTCTCCCCTCCCCATGAATGAGTGCTGACCCCAGTGGGCCTGGGCACCATGTTCCACACCCCTAAATGCCACGTCACACCTCCCTCCCCTAAATGCCAGCACCTCCTCCCCAGCCCAGCCCTCAGCAGGCACCCTTTCTTCTGTTTCACCCGGAAAACAGGAGCTTTTGGAAGAGACCTTCCCTTTGCATCTGCCAGAGGCTCCTGTCTAACAGGGGCAGTGGCTGTGCTTCAGGCTCCGGCCCCACCCACTCCCCGCCCTCCTGCTAAAGTCATTCCTCCTGCACCCCAGCACAGCCTCTCCCAGATCATTCTCACCATCTTCCAGACATTGCCTGAATTGCTCACAATCTTCCAGACATTGCCTGAATTGCTCCAGGCAATACATTGTGTCTTTAAATAATTTCAAATGCAATCCCCCGCTGTGCACAGCATTCCTCCTGTACACAGCTGCAGGCTGCACCTCAGCGGGAAGGGAATGCAGCGGAGGTGTGTTGGACTCCGGGGTGGGGAGGGTGTCATGGTATCAGTTGCATCTTGAAACAGAAACCTGGTTAACCTAGAAACTGACCTCCCACCTCCACCAGGCCCTTCCTGAAGCCAGTGACACCTCTGTCCGCTGCCATGTAACTACCCACATGTAAAAGCAGCCGGAGACTGAAAGCGTAAATCGACAATAGGTTGGGCACAGTGGCTCACACCTGTAATCCCAGCACGTTGGGAAGCCAAGGCGGGTGGATCGCTTGAGCCAGGAGTTCAAGACCATCCTGGGCAACCTGGTGAAACCCTGTCTCTACAAAAAATAAAAATAAAAAAATTAGCCAGGCATGGCGGCATGCATCTGTAGTCCCACCTACTCAGGAGGCCGAGGTTGGGGGATCACCTGAGCTGGAGGAGGTTGAGGCTGCAGTGAGCTGTGATCATGCTACTGCGCGCCAGCCCGGGCAACAGCAAGACCCCGTCTCAAAAAAGAGTTGACGATAAAATTCACTTCTCCTTGGCGACCTTACCCTATCCTTCTTTGTGTTTTAGACATGTCAGCATGCCCTGCCGTGCACTAAAGTACTTCCCTTTCCCTAGGATATGGGCAAGTTTTGCCTCACATACGAGGCCTCCATGACCCGGCTCTTCCGAGAGGGGAGAACGGAGACGGTGCGCTCCTGCACCGCTGAGTCGTGCGACTTCGTGCAGGCCATGGTGGACCCGGCCCAGACGGTAATGTGCCATAGGCTGAGGGCACAGCGTGCTTGTCATGCTTCCCTAAAAGGCCTCTGGAGGCCGCCACTCCAGCTTCTCTGATATCATTCCTGTACCACCTTCTTCAGGGGTGCTCAATTCAGCTTCTTTCCTCTGCCCCTTTCACGCGTACGGAAGGTACTAAAAGGTAAAGGTAGGGACAGGTACAGAGAGGCATGTTACAGATGATACTTTCCGAATCATATTCTACTTCCTGAGAGTCTTTAAATTCATCCAGGACACCACAATGAGGAAAGGCATAGCGGGTGGCTGCTTCGGAACTGGACGGGTAGCTGGTGTAAGGGTAGGCCAGCTGTGACCGTTACGCGGAGACCTTCCATTGGTTATTAGAGCTATTGCCACACTGGGCCCCAAGTGCCAGGCTGGGGCCTGGGGGTTTTCCGTACACTGTCCTTTAAATTCTTAGCAGTGGTCCTGAGAAGTGTCCTCAGTTCATTTCCATAGATAAAGAAACGGAGGCCTAGATGAATTCAGCAGCTGCTGGGCCACTCGGCTCATTAATGGCCGAGGTCAGACCCAGGCCACTGGGTCCACCTGACCCCACCGTGCAGGTGCTTTCTGCTGACCCCTGGAGGAGACACAGGCCAGGGCTCTTTTTTCCGAGACCAACTTCATTCTGGAAGGGCTGTCAGGCCAGGCGCGGTGACTCATGCCTGTCATCCCAGTACTTTGGGAGGCTGAGGCTGAGGCAGTCAGATTGCCTGAGCTCAGGAGTTCGAAACCACCCTGGGCAACATGTTGAAACCCCGTCTCTACTAAAAATACAAAAAATATTAGCCGGGTATGGTGGCTAACTTAGATTCATAACCGCTCAACTTGAGACATGCAACATATGTCCTTCCCGCCTTTTGTCACTCAGGTGGAACAGAGGCTGAAATTGTTCAAGGTGGCGTCTGAGAAGCATCAGCATATGTATCGCCTCGCCATGACCGGCTCCGGGATCGATCGTCACCTCTTTTGCCTTTACGTGGTGTCTAAATATCTCGCTGTGGAGTCCCCTTTCCTTAAGGAAGTAAGTCTCTTCCACTTCTTCCATCAGTTGTGTTGGCTAGACCAAACCTTAGTAAACTACTGCAGCCTTGCATTAACTCATTTTAATGTCAGAATGGGCATTTGAAAAAAAAAAAACGGGTCTGTGGGCGTAGCTGTCATAAAATGGAAAATGGGAGCAGCGCATTTAGTACTGCGCTTCCTCAGTAACCGCTCACAGGTAGCCCCTGACTTAATAGACCCGAAGACCTCGAGAGCTTACGTCACAGGAAGATGCACGGAAGTAACTGGGGAGTGATGAGCTGTGAGTGCATACCAGCTTTGTTTTTAAAATCCTTTAGTTTATTGTAAGTTTATGAAATTTATTATTATGTTTTTTTGAGACAGGGTCTCACAGTGTTGCCCAGTGTTGTCTCAAACTCCTAGACACAAGCAATTCTTCCTCCTTAGCCTTCTGAGTAGCTGATGTGCACCACTGCGCCCAGCTCAAATTTAATTTAATTTCTATTTATTTATTTATTTTATTTTTTATTTTTTGGAGATGAAGTCTCGCTCTGTCACCCAGGCTGGAGTGCAGTGGCACCATCTTGGCTCACTGAAACCTCTGCCTCCTGGGTTCAAGCTATTCTCCTGCCTCAG